TACATCAGACTGAGGAGTAGCTATGCAATCAATTCGCCCCATCCCTCTCCCTTCCTCCCTCTTTTCACTACATCCCCTAGCACACACACACACACACACACACACACACACACACACACACACACACACACCGTCTATTTCAGGTCTGTTTCCAGCCTTAACTAGCGGTCTTGGCTGTTTAGGAATAGGTAAGATCTCTCAGTCAATAATGCAAACCAAGTCTTCCCCAGAGAGCCCCCCGGGGAAGGCTTAAAATGGGGCGGAGGGTGCGCGATTGCTGGCCTCTGGGGTCTACATTTTGTATTTCGCTGACAGCCCTAAGCCCGCCGCGCAGCCAATGGGCGGCGGTGATTTATGGAGCTGACTAATGCTGGCTGAATGCGGCCTGTCAGAGCGCTGTGAATGGCTTCCCTTCGCCGCACAAGCCCCGGCTTTGTGTTGCTAAGCGATTAGAGCAGATGTAATGAGATTTTGCCCATTCCTAGCTTTGGCAAAATTGTGTGTGTGTGTGTGTGTGTGTGTGTGTGTGTGTGTGTGTGTGCGCGCGCGCGCGCGCGCGTGTAGTGAATTTTCGGAGTTCGCTTTCACATTGTGGCAAACAACCCGCTAACTTTGCCCAGAGTTTAACCGAGACTCAGTATTTCTCATTCTGAAGAGGGTAAAAGAACACCTGTCCTTGCAGGCAAAATAAGAAAAAAAAATCTCTTTGGTAGGGGTTGCAACATTTATCCTAATGTTATATTCATTGCCATAAATGACTCGCAACACTTTCTCTGCATACCTTAGGCAGCTAAATCAAATGGAAAGGGAATGGGGTGGGGGTGGGGGGGGGCGGAGGGGAGCGCCTAGTTCTGGTCTCCCAAACAACACAAAAACAAAGCCAGTACTACAGAAGCATTGCTTCCCCAAGTAAGCTCTAAATTGGCCCACTGCTGGCAGAAAGTCCGATTATTTATGGCGATGGGGAATTTACTGATTTTTTTTCCCCTTAATTACGCCCATCTCTTTGAAAGGGACTGAAGCCTCCGTGTGCATTCTATAGAGGGTCATTTAACAAAATGACATCAGACGCTGTGGCATGCTCCACGCATAGCGGCTTTCAAAAATGGTTATTCTGTGCCCCTAAATGGTATAGATATACCAACACGGGCTAGATTTTTAACTCTGGAAGACGCGCCTGCTCCCCGCTCTTTGTTGGGTTTTGTAAGATGCATTTTGCGCCTGGTTTTCCGCTTGGCTGGAGACAACGCAAACTGAATCTGCAAGTGATACAGGCAGCGAGCAAGGAGCCTGCTAGAGGTCGAGTAGGATTCCAAGCACGTCCTTGGTAACTGACAAGAAGCGAGCCAGCCAAAACCCCACCAATTTCTTTTTGAATCTTGGTAATTGGGTACTTTTACACGCTGCTCACGCTATGGGGATAGAGTCACAGCCTTAGATAGGCTGGCGTCTCAAAGCGACCACACATTTGTACTACATTACATAGTCAAGTCTAATTCTGTCTGCAGGGAATTTGTATCATATGGGTCTTTTGCCTCAACACAGGCCGCAAAGTGTATATATTGGAGGAAAATGCGTATAAATTGGGTGTGGGGGGGGAGTGTGTGCCTAGAAGTGAGTGCAGAGGAGTCCACTCCACCCCTGAAGTTTGTGGAGAGGGGACCTCCCATCCCAACTTTCAGCACTATCCTTCCAAACACCCAACCTTCCATCCCCCTGTGGTGACAACCTCAAATGGTCCGAGAGTGGGGGAGGGGAAGGAGGAGTGTCCCTTCCCAGGTGACTGTTTTGGGGATTTTTTTATGCATAGTCTGTGATGGGGTGACGCAACTATGAATTGTCATTGATTTCCCTGAAGTTGTCTATATGCATGGCGAATAACAGAGAAGAGGACCCCACACACAGCCATCACCAAGTTACCACTGGAGAGGGACTGGCTGGACCACTTATCCCCTTCTTCTCTGCAACTGAGCACCCTTGGCGCCACCCTCCCTCCCTTTGAGTATTTTGATAGCTTAGCCAGGAGCATCAGAGCCAAAGAAGACGTAGAGGCAGCTGGTAATTTTCTCTCTCTCGTTCTTTTTTATATATATATAAAAGGAAAAAAAGTTTTATTACAAAACTAGCTTGTATAAAACAGGGTTATACACGTGTTTGTAAGTTTGTAATAAAACAGTAAGGAAAAAAAAGGCAGTGGTAGAAATTTCCAAAAGGCAACCCATGGAAACCAACTGGCTGCCACTTTGCGTTTGGACAGTAGCTGCATGAACTTTGTTCTTCTTGAACAGTTTTTTAATAACATCATTAATACATTAACAACGTTTCTAGGAAGTAAGACACATTGGTGCTGAAGTCATTCTGGTGGCACTTAAATCTCACCTATGAAGGGAGTTCCCTAGGAAACCACATGGGGGGGAACGACAGTTATAAGATGGGCTACAAAGTATGCAGAGGTAATTGCATTACATGTTAAAGTATCAAGATATACACATTTTAAACCATTTGTACAAAACTTCTATAAATTTTCTCTCTTTCTTATGTACAAAAATATCTTAATATATCCCCAAACTGGTTAGGATAGATACAAATAGATTTTTTTTCTTATAATAAAAAAATTCACAAAGATTGGAAGCATTCTATGATGAAAACAGAAGCAAGGACCGTGGAAGAGAGAATTAGGGCTTGGGGAGGAGGCCACCAGGATAGGGGAAGGGTATCCAAGAACCCAGTATGGTTTAGCATAGCTGCTTTACTGCAGACAAATGCCCACAGCTCGCTGGGATGGGGCTTAATAAGGAAAGACATCAACCCAGTCCAAAGGGCTAGGACTTGGTTTGGGCAGAGGGCGAGAGGTGAAGGCACTGGCAAGTGCTTTCAACTCTGCCAGTTAGTTTAGTGGCTGGCTGGGAGTTACTGAAGAGCGGGTGGCTCTCTTGCTCTAGGAAGGGAAGTCATTGCTTTTGCACACCAGCTGTAGCTTGGGCTTAGGTTCGGGTACCAGTCACTTGTTCATCTCCAAGAATGACTGGAGTGCCGAGATACTGTTCGGAGCCCAGCCCTGCTTGCTGAGAAGGTGGCCTCTTAGTCACGCTGCCCCTGGAGGTCGTCCTGCTGGTTGGTTGGTTTGTTTTTCTTCCTTCTTCGTTTGTTTCTTCCTCCCTCTCAATGTCCTTGGCGAGACACACTAAAGATGCAGGATCTGCCGTCACCCTGAAACAGAAACAAGAGGGGAAGTGTGAGTTTGGAGGGCAGTAAAAGAAGATGTGAAGGCTTGGGGGGTGGTTGTCTGTCAGGTAAAGCATCTCTTTGGACAAGTTCCAGGACTCCGTCTCCAGGGTCTCTGATCCTCACACCTCTACCCTCCATCCCTTGGAAACTTGGGCAAAGCCACTTTCGGGGATCAGTACTGAAGCTAACAAAATAGGACTTGAAACAGACACCCTAACAACAATAACCCCTCCATGTTCCTGGAGACAACCTCTACCCTCCATGAACCCTCAAAAAAGGGGGAAAGGGGCCCAGGCTAGGAAGCCCCAGCCCAACTCCAAATGAAACGTACCTACTTCCAAAGTCCATCCCCAGCAGGGGTCGGCAGCTCCTCAGAACCAGTTGGTGAAATCCAGCAGCTCTTGTTCCTCTGGGCTGAGAGGGTCATAAGATCCCTCGTCGGAGGAGTAGGACGAGACCGGAGAACCCGCCATAGAGTTCATGTCGTTGGAGTAGTTGGGGGAGATGGTGGGCGATAGGACGCCCGCCTGGAAGGCGGCGCTCACCGCATCATGCTCGTCCAGCAGCTGCTGCAGAGCGCGGATGTACTCGACAGCCGAGCGCAGCGTCTCCACCTTGCTCATCTTCTTGTTGGCTGCTCCGTTGGGGACATGCTCCCGGAGGGTGGCAAAGCCCAGGTTGACCAACTTGACCCGGTTGCGCTCACGCTCGTTGCGGCGCGCCACGGCGGCCGGCTGCTGCTGCGGCAGGCTGTAGCCGAAGCCGCTGAAGTTGAGCCGGCGTTTGCAGCGCATCAGTTCCGGAGAGGACGAGCGCTGGCGCTTGACCTGCTTGGCCGCTGACTTGTGACCGCCCCCTGAGGGCTGGCCGTCGGCCACTGGGCTCAGCTGCGGCGCCTGCTGCGGCTGCGGTTGCTGCTGCTGCTGCACGCTCTGCGCTGCTGCTGCTGCCGCCGCCGCCGCCGTAGCAAAGAAGCAGGCGGCAGGCGGCAGGAAGGGTTGCGGGGGCTGCGGCTGCTGGCCGGCTCCGCTCTCCATCTTGCCAGAGCTCTCCATGCCCGGTCAAAGAGTCGCGGGGAAGAGCGAGAGAGGAGTGCGAGAAGTGCGCGGGGAAACGCGGAGCTCTAGGGGGACGCGGGGCTCGGAGGCACGATCAGACGGGGCAAAGAAAAGGAGAGAGGAGGAACGGGCCCCCGAGGAAAGTTAAAAGAGAAGAAACGCGCGAAAGGCCGCGGAGTTCTCCAGCTGCGGCGGAGGAAGGTGCCTAGGCGATCGTCTTCCCTCTGCGCCGCCTCCTCCCTCCCCTCCTCCCGCCGCGGTTGGCTTCGGGAGCCTCGCGTGGCGCTCGCGTGTGCGGCCGCCGCCGGCGCCTTCTCGGTATTAAAAGAAAAAGGGAAAGGGAAGGCTACAGCAAAAGTCAGTGCTGAGCGCGCTCTGCCGGGTCGTGCCGCTGCGGTGCTGCGCTCTCTTGTGCCCGGTCTCCCCGGCTCCAGCCTGGGTCGAGCCCGGTTCTGGGATTATTTGGTAAACCCCCTTTCTTTCTAATTCCTCTTTCGCCCCCAATTCGCCCTCCCTGATCTGCTCCCAGCCGGTACGCCGTCCACGTTCCCTGGCCAGAAGTGAGAGAGTGTTGGGCGGCTGCGGTGCGGCCGCCTTTTCAATGGGACACCCAGCCCCACGCGCAGCCCTGGCCCCGCCTCGCTCCCCACTCCCCACTGCTGCTGCGGGCGGCTGCAACCCCCACCCCCCATAAACTCCCCCCCAGCTCCCTCCCTCGTCTCCTCCCTCCCCCTCCTCCGGTTGCCCGCGCCCGCTCCTTGCAAACTCTCCATTCAGCCGGGTTTGTTGTTGCAGTGCGTGCGCCTGGCGCGTGCCGGACTCCCGGCTGAATAAACAGGCTGCGCGCTCGGGGCGGTGACTCGGGGCGCCAGGGGGTGGCTCTAGAAATGGGTACCTTCTTTTTAAGAAGGGTAAATGGCTCTGGGACTTTGGGTGCCTAGCTGGAAAGTCTGGAGGGAAAGTGTCTTTGGAGTCTACTGAGAACTTGGAAGAAAATGCACGGAAGGATTTAGGGGAAAAGTAGCAAAGGAACTTCATACAGGTGGGGGACTGGGGTTCTTTTTTTTCTTTTTCCTTTTTCCTTTTTCTTCTCTCCCCAGGTTTTCTGGAGGATTATTTGACGACCCTAAAAAAATAAAACAGACTTGCAATTAGGTTTAGAAAGATGGAAGGGGAGAGACCTTGCAGACAGTGAGTGACATATTGGTGGCTGTTTGAGAACTTGAGTTCTAGCCCCTTGAGTCCTCTCGCTAGTGTTGCTGCGCTAGATCAGTGCTACCCGCTCTGAGTCGCCTTTGCATTACGGTTGCATTAAGTGAACGCTGCCACCCTATTCAGCTTCAAGAATAGGATGTGCTGGACCCAATTCCTCAAGAGTGGAGAGACTAGAGGACGTGAACTGGCGCTAAGAAGCTGAGGCAGGAGAATCATAAGTTGGAGGCTAGCTTGAACTAGAGATATTCCTCGGCTTAAAAAAAAGCGGCGTGTGTGTGTGTGTGTGTGTGTGTGTGTGTGTGTGTGTGTGTGAGAGAGAGAGAGAGAGAGAGAGAGAGAGAGACAGAGAGAGACAGAGAGAGAGAGAGAGAGAGAGAGAGAGAGAGAGAAAGAGAGAGAGAGATGCAGGTGGTCAGTGGTTTAGGGACCTGTATACAGGCTCTGGGGTTATCTAATTCTGGCCCTCTGTAACACCTGCCACTCCTCAGAAGATGCTTTCTAGACTAGCTGGGAAAGGAGAGCACTCTGGGATATTCCAAACCGCTGGAGGCTGCCGGAAATTGAAGGTGACTGAGTTTGGGCAAACCGAAAGGCTTCCTTCCTTGTCCTGGTCTGCCGCAGCCGCCTCGCCTCGGAGGCCTTGGCGCAGCCTTCTACCCGCCCCAGGCGTGTGCCTGGCGGGTTGGTGGCAGGCGACTGGGAGCAGAGCCCGCTGGGGCCGTGTGCTGGCACCGCGAGAGAGGGGGAGGCGCCTGCGGCGGTCACCCTGCCGCTGGGACAGTGCCTGCCCAGGCTCCCTTCCTGGGCTTAGGCCTGGCACTCTCTGTCCGAACCAAGTCCAGCTTAGAAACACCAAGCACTGCAGGCAAAGGTCTCAGACTGCTTTGGTACACCCTGGGCTGGTCTCTGGTCGCGTCTACATAGGCAGAACCAAGCGTTTGGCGGTCCTCTGGTGGATTTGTCCAGAAGTCCTCCGGGCTGATGATCAAGGTCTGGAGTGCAATAATGTTTATCGTGAAGAACCAGGATAATGGCTTCTAGTTATCGTGGTTATTATTGTTTTAGTTATTATTGGAGCCATTTTTTTTCAGTGTCTCACTACATAGCCAAAGCCTTGAGCTCTTGGCAGTCTTCCTCCCTTAGCTTTCCCAGGACTGAGATTTTGAACATTGGCCACAACTTCCGGTCAGGATAATTGCTTCAAAGGGTCCACGAGGATGTTCCAGAGAGATGTCCTACACACGTGTGGCTAATTAAGAGTGTTCTTGGTGGAATAGTGGTAACCACGTGCAGAAAGAATGGCTGACTTCCTAACTGAATCCCACATCTTACCTTGGCTATCTCTTTGTAGAAGAACGGTTTGGGGGAGCACAGAATATGACTGTGTCAATTCTGCAATCCTTCCCACTCATGAAGCGTAGGCCAGCTTATTGACCTCTGGGAGTCTCAGTTCCCTCACCAGTACCATGCCTCTCCCCTGCCCACAGAAGCAGAGACTGGGTTAGTGAGAAGTCATTCTCCAACACCCATCTAGTACATGAGTTGTGAGAGGGTGTGTAGGTCATCTTCCGGTCACGGCTACAAAATGCCCGAGATGCTCCGCCAACAGGAAAGGTTTGTGTAAGCTCACAGTTTCAGAGGTCTCAGTCTGTGATCAATCAGCCCCTTTGTTCTGAACCAGTGTGAAATGGTGTATCATACTGAAATGCATAGAATGGCAAAACTATTCCCAGTATGGCCAGGGGAAAGGGAAGCAAGAGAAGAGTGCTGGTTGGTCGCTGTTTGTTTGTTTGTTTTGTCAACTTGACACACTTAGACTTAACTGGGAAGGCAGAATCTTCATTGAGAAATGAATCTTCACCAGATTGTCAATTCATAAGTCAATGGGGGAATTTTTTTGATTGATGACTGAGCTCTGGAAGAGCTCAGATCACTGTGGATGGTGCTACCCCTGGGCACATCCTCCTGGGTTGTATCAGAAGAGAGGCTGAGCAAAACCGCTGGGAGCAAGCTTGTAGGTAGTGCTTCTCCCTGGCCCCTGCTTTCTTTACTCCCTGGGGTGGCAGCCCTGTCTGTTTTCCATCCATTATGAACTGCAACTGTGAAATGAAATAACCCCCTTTCCTTACCAAGTTGCTTTAGGTCACGGTCTTTATCATAGCAATAGGAACCCAACCACAGTGCTGTGACAGACCTGCCTGTACTGTTCTGGGAGGATTTAAGGATGGCTTTGGGACATCAGGCTTGAAAAGTCATTGAGTGTTTATAGCTTCATGCCCTGTTGTGGCGGGAGCTTGAAAGACAGGGATGCTGAAGAAGATGGAGATGACGGAGACCTGGCTTGTAAAATTTTGCAGGGAAGCAAAAACAATTCATGCATGATTTTGAATTAAGAATCTGTGGCTCTGGTCAGCTGGGGCCTAAGTATCAACTGTGATGAACAAGAGGCCAGAAACACTAAAATGAACTCTTGTTTTTCCGGGACAATCCATGTTGGTCATCTAAAGCTGGCGCTTAGAAGTCAGATGCAGCTAAGAAGAGACCAGTATCATCGAGGAACAGGACAGCATGTGGAAACTGGGGACCAGGGGGAGCCAAGGCTGCTCATTATGCTGGTAACTGAAGATGGTAATGTGTAAGAGCCACCCAGGTTGTACTGGTTTTGAGGTCATGGATGAGTCTTGGAGAGCAGCTGAGGTTTGGCACTGTATAGCAGGGCCAGAGTTTCTGAGGAGAAGCCTTTGGTGAAGGCTTACAGTAGAGACTCCAGCACATTGACACTATCAGTAGCTGATATCACTGTCAAGGACAGCAGCAGCTGTGGTGTGGAATCCACCTGCGCCTATGACACAGGTTGTATGTGTTGTGTATGGCAGAGCAAGGGAAGTGGGCTGCTCAGGTTCTTTGGAGACCAGAAGATTATGAGTGAGTCCCAGACGCTGAACACTAAGCTACCTTCTGCTGCTGAAGTTTGGCTTTGCTCTAATTTGAGTATGATGACAGTACCCCGATGATTCTTTCTTGGATCAAGTGATTATTTAACTTATTTTTTATTTTACAGGAGTCCGTGATTGAGAGACTTCGAACCTCTAAAGGTGTTTAGGGAAGAGCACACCTTTATCCAGTGCTACAGGAACAACTCTGAAAACATACATCCAAGTAACACTGCAGACTAAATAGGTTAGATTTTAAAATAATTATGCATATTTGTATTTGTATGTGATAACAATTAATAAAAAAGAGGCTATAAATTGAATAAGAATGAGGAAGGGTATATGGAAGGGCTTAGGAGGAGGAAAGGGAAGGGAAAATGTCATTAAAATATAATCTCAAAAATAAAAAATAAAAAGATGCTAGATTTTTCAAGAAAACTTGGGCTTTTAAAGTATTGAAAATTTTAAGGCTGGGACTTCTAAAGTTATACTATGCTTATATTGCGTTATCAGTGGGAGATCTTGGTGCTGAACAAGAAAGGAAAGGCTATGGTTTAATGAACAGTGTGTTTGTGTGTCCAGTTGACAGCAGGTCAATTGTGCTGGTTGGTTTTGCCAACTTGACACAAACCTAGGCGTATCTGGGAAGGGGGACTGTGAGTTGAGAAGATGCCGTCATCATATTACCTGCAGACAAGCCTATAGGACATTTGCTTGCTTAATTATTGATATGGGAGGGCTCAGGCCACTGAGTGGTGCAGCCCTGGGCAGGTGGTCCGGGGGGGGGGAGCAGGCTGAGCAAGCCATGGGAGCAGGACAGTAAGCAGTGTTCCTCCATGGCCTCTTCAGTTCCTGCCTTGAATTCCTGCCTTGGCTTCCTTCAGCGCACTGTGACTCAGGATATGTAAGCCAGAAAGACCTATTTCCTCCGTAAGTTTCTTTGGGCTGTGATGTTTTATCACAGCAATAGAGACCCTAACTCATCCTAACTCATGCCACAGTCTCTTAGAAGCTCCCAAGAGGCCCTACCTTTTAAAGACTCTACCATCACCCTGAAGGAAAACGAAAAGGATTTAATTCACGAAGCCTTAGGGAATATTTAAGATCCAAACTAATGCGGAGCAGGAGACTCGGTTCTTGGCATCCCGAAGTCTGCGATAATTGTTCTAACTACTGGAAATTCAATATCGTATCTCTCTGCCTAGTACTTAATGTTAAATAATTCTTCTGATTCTTGGTCAGTGATCATGCTGGTGAATCAGGGTGGCAGAGATAGGAACCACATTTTAAAACATTAATGATGGCCAGGATATTAAATGCCGATCACGCAGTGTGATCCTTTGCGAAAGGAGATACATCTTCTATATCTACTTTCTGCGGCTGTCTTGTCATCCATGGGTTGACTCTGAACAAGTCCCCAGGATTTTACTTGACCAGGTCACTTGAACAAAGTTCCATTTATCTGGACATGAAGGAATAAGATACTTTGTATGAGAAGCACTGCATACCTTTCCCCCAAATGGGGTGGAGGCACACCCTTCGCCTATCTGTCAAAGCTCTTATGAGGATGAAGTCAGGAGTTGTTGGTGAGTTTGCCCTATGAGTATCAGAATTGTGCCTTCATTCTCCCAGTGGGAGAACACAATGAGTGTTCTGTCCTGTGTGGGGGAGGGAAAGACATTGACCCCTGTTTGATACCCAGAATACGGGTGTTCTCGGCAAAGGGGATAGTTGCCTCATCTGTACATACAAGAAGTGACTTAATCTCTACACTTTTTTCCCTCATGTCATACCATCCATAAGCTGGACCATACTTTAGATTGATCCTTGTCTGTATTCAGAGCTGAGATCTTGTAGGAGGAGAAGGCTCTCCTAGTGAGCCACAGGAATGGCTTCCTAGGTGACCTGAGCCTGGCGCCTTTAGCCTTTTAGAATCTTCATTTTCAGCAACAATGGAAGGCCAGATAGTTATGATACCTTTGTTCATTTACAGCTCAGACTTCTCTCCGTGGGAATGAGGTATGCCTCATCTCTTTGAAAAATTTCCACTTATGTTACATTTTTGGGGTGGGACATTCAATACTAAAGACTAAACTAGGTTTTTTATTTTATTTTAATTTTACTTTTTGTTTGGTTTTGTTGTTGTTCTTGTTTTGAGACAAGATTCCTCCTCCATGTAGCCCTGGCTGTCTTGGAACTCGCTCGGTAGACCAGGCTGACCTCAAACTCAGAGATTCTCCTGCCCCTGCCTCTCAAGTGCTGAGATTAAAGGCATAGCTAAACTAGGTTTCCCATGGAACAATTTTTAAATAAAGTTGTGTGTATAGTGGATCTTAAATGAGGGGCAAAGAGGAAAAAAAATGCAGTTGAGTCTTGGACTCTGATTTTAGGGCCCTCATCCTTTTGAATCCCTGAACTTCAGGAGAAGAGGGGGTCCAAATGCACTCAGTTGCAAACTCAGTTGGGTCAGCCACAACACAGGGCCTCATTCCTGCAGGATAAGCTGCCCTACCCCCATGCTGGGGTCTATCCTAAGGGAAGATGCTCTCCTACCCAGGGAAAAGGCAAAGTATGTCCCTAAAGAATCTCTCCGTGTTAGGCACCCCTTTCGGAGGCCACCTGGGGGGGGACCACTGGGCCGCTGAGGCAGCTAGGGTCCTCAGGAGGACAGAAGACAAACCTCACTTGTGCCTCTGTTCTGCATCTTGGTCACAACAGCCCGGCTTGCACCTGCATCAAGGACTCCAGACTTCTAATGAATCAATTCACTTTTTCAATATGTCTTAAAAAAGAAAAGTTGGAGAAGAAAAACAAAACAAAACAAGCAAGTATATTTTATTGTGGCTTTTTGGATAAGGAAGAAAGGTGGAGGCGGAGTAATTTGCAGGCACCCTCACAGAGTCTTTTGAAGTTCTCCAAATAAGAAGAACTAATGCTAACTCTTTATTTTTTTTCTAAAGCCCCATTTACATTATGATTAAATACCTTCCTTGGGTAGGCATAAAGAAAGTCGTTAATCTATATAGCTCTCCAAAGAATCAATACATTCTAAACTTTTGTAGGATTTGTTACACTCTATTTTGTTGTTACAGTAGGCTCGCCCAGCTCTGTCTAGGCACATGGTTCTTCTTCTTCCCTCCCCCTCAGCACCTCCTCCAAGAATGAAAACAAAGCCAAGGTCTTTCACCATAAACAAAACCAGCTGATTCTTCACAGAGAACCCCTGAATAGCTTGAGAAAGGGGGGAGAAAACTTACAATAAATGGTGCATTTTTTTTCTCTGCTGGGTATAGCATTCAAGGATCAGGGCAGTATTCAAACAGAGGTCCATTTTTTTGCTCAGCAAGCGAGTTTAGAAAAGAAGCGTGGAGTCCATTCAGAGCCACCCCCGCACAATCACGGGGCTCTGTGAAAACTATCTTCCATGCCTTGTCAGACTGTTTCTGGGGACCAATTAGCGCTTTGTTGCACGGCTTCTTTGGCTGCGTCTTTGAGCAGCAGGAAAAAGCGCTCTTGAGTCTCCCCTTATTTTGACCATTTCAGTCATTACTCAGTGTAATAATTAATATGACAACTGGACGCTCCGGTTTGTATAGAAACACCTCAACGACAGGAGCGAGTTTGCAGTGGGTGGTAACGAGCCGCACATCGGCCCTAGAAGCCACACACACAAAAAGGGAATGAATGGCGACAGAGAAAGAGAAGGAATAAAGATAAAATAGTTGGCACAACGCACAGCGACATAAAACAGCCTGGGACGGGAGAGAGGGAGGAGGAACCCGGACAATTAGAAGGGGAGGGGTAAACACCCTACGGAGGTTAACTTAGTTTGAAACTGTTTTGTGAATAGAACCGTGGACGTGAGTGGCCAGATTTCAGCCCATTGCCCCCACCTCGCCCCCGCCCTTTTATGAACCATTTTGGAGGAGGGGTGGGAATAGGGGCTGCTGCAATCTTTAGATTGTTCCCGGACTCCTAGAAAGTGCATCCACGGGCTACCAAGCTTAGATCCCAGCAGCCCCTTGTTTGGTGTTCAGCAGAAGCCAGGTCACCTTGACAGGACCAGATATACCTGACATTTTCAGGGGATGAATTTTGGGGAAAATATATTAGAGACTTCCAGACACTACATCAACTCTGCACAGTCTACGTCTGCGGGACTCCGGAGCTGAGAGGGGGCTCCAGAGTTGCAACGCTGCTACCGCATCTCAGTGGTGCTGTGCGCCCCAGGCTGCGACCCCTATGGACCGGCATAATAAATAATTAGAACGTTTAAGGCTGTTGGCCACAGCTCATGCTAATGAGGCAGATAGGAACTCACACTAAGCCTAAGCCACAGTTTGCATAAAAAAAAAACAACAAAAAAAACCCCCCACAAAATTCCCGAAACTTAAAACCTGCTCTTTTTGCCCCAACTTGTTCCTTCTGTAATTCCTGTTCCCCCAACCTTTTACTTAATTCTGATGCCTCCCTCACCCACAGCCTCAATATTCCTTCCACCCAGAGGGGCTTCCTTGTGAAGACTGCCCCAGACCTCTGAAGGTTCACTCGCAGCTGCCCTGTCCGGCCGGTCATCTAGTGATGGTTTTCTTTGTATGGAACACAAGCCAAGTTCACATCCTGAAGATTCTGAAAGCTCGGGAAACCCGGGCTTCTGTATGCCTTGGATGCTGTCCAGGTTCAAGGGGCCAGAGGAGCTTCCAGGTGGGTGAAGAATTGGGGCCCAAGAAAAGGGGAAGTTCCTGAACTGCTCCTACCGCCTCCCCGAAGCCGGGACATTTTACCAAAGTGTCTGAGGTCAGTCGTGTGTCCCCATTGTGTGGCCACGCGTCCTGTGTCCATCAGCACCTCCCCAAGCCCGGACTCAGCCGGACTTCTTGCTGTGCACTCTGGGAATACGGTGGCTGATCAATCGGTGGACGGAGGACATGGATACTGGCACAGAGAGCCAAGGACAAAGTTTACTGGTAACAGGTTTCAGAGGAAGCAGAAGCCAGGCCAGCCACCGAGAGAGACATCTAGCCTGCCTGATTCGGCCAGTTTTAGCGCAAACAAGGAACAGCACCCAGCAGGATTTTCAGTCCTTTGTGGGGGTGGGGGAGAAGGCGGTGGAGGTGGGGTGGGGACAAGGGTTAGGGAGTAATTTTTAATGTGGATATTCCTTAGCATGAAACCCGAAAGAGCAACAAAGACAAGATTTAAGGACTTACTATTTGTAAAATTTGGACAGGAGTGCCAGGCACATGGGAAGCCACAGATGTGTGTTATATATAACACTCACCCTGAAATATGGAGCGAGGGACACACTGGTCCTGCTAAGTACTAGAAAATACTGTTGAATTCTAAAAGTGACTAAAGCTGACACGGCCATCGATCCATCACATAACTGGCAAGTCTAGTCCCATGAATGGTCCGTGTGGAAGGAAAGAAAGTCCATTAACACAGGGCAGGACAACAGGGATTGTCCTGATTTTCCGGACTCCACCCTCTCCACATACCTGAATGCCGCCCAGATATAAATTCCAGGTAAAAACAGTGGGGTGTAAACACATCCTCAAGTTACCCAGAACCTCTCTGCTAAGCAGACACTTGACAGTGTAGAAAATACAAGCTGGACTACACAGACCTCGATGAGAGTCACTTTCCTCTTTGATCTCTCTCTCTCTCTCTCTCTCTCTCTCTCTCTCTCTCTCTCTCTCTCTCTCTCTCTCTCATCTTTCCTCTAAAATAACCTTCATGGATCAATGATGATGTTGCCCTCAACCTGCTGATGCTCAAATTATGAACCTTGCTAACCCTCAGCATCCCAGAGACAATGATTAGTGTTAGGGACTTGGGTAAACTTTGGGTCTTTGGTGCACCTTGGTTAACATGCAACGGAATGAAACACCGCTGTTGCCCACAGCCTAACTGGAGAAACAAAACAGTCATCTGTGACTGTTTCTCGCCTGAAGACCTGGGGACCGCCTTGTCGTCTGTTGCGGGATGTGTGGATCGCTTGCCACCTGCTGGTTGTTTGTCGAACTGCAGCAGGGATGTGTTGAAACTCTGCCGCGGGATTCGTTCAGTTCAAATAAGTCTCTTAACTCTGCTCTGTGTAATCAGGTGTGTGTGGCCCGTTCACCACGATGGCCACAGTAGTGACATCTGAGGTGTTCTATCTGTGTGTGTGTGTGGTGCACGTGTGTACACGTTTCCTCGTCTGCGTGCATGTCCGGAAGTCAGAGAGTGATAGCCCGATACTGAACACAGGTCCCTCCTCAGTCACTTGTCACTTTACTTTTTGACCCAGTGTCTCTCGCTGAACCAGTAGCTCATCCATTTGGCGAGACTCTTTGGCCACTGAGCTCTAAATACCCCCTCTTTACTTCTTCCCATCACTACCATGACTGGCTTTTATTTTATTTTACTTTTGCGAATCTGAACTCAAGTCTGAATATTTGAGCTGCAAGAACTTCATCCACCGAGTCATCATCTTCCCAAACACTGGGGTGCGGTTAACATTCGGGTTCTGGAGCTTCATCCCACGCCCCCTCAGACAAGACCTGGGACCTTGTTCTCTCAACAAACCCCGTTTCCTATGCCAAGGATGGGAACTGCCTCACCTGAGGTGTGCCTCGTGGGAAGGCGGTGAAGACGGAACCTTTTCTGGTAAGAAATGGGTATTGGTCCTGGAAGGTCAGGTACCCTGGTGGTTTGGACGGAGGGAAAATGGGTAAGTTAATACTGAGATGCTTGTCCTGCTGGGCCTAGGGAGTGGTCAGAAACCCAACTCAAAGAGAAGTGCCACACGAAAGAGACCTTTCTCTCATTATTTGTTTATTTTTATTTTATTTTATTTATTTAAAACAATCTCAACATTTAAATATATTTGGATCATTTTTCTTCCCCTCCCCTAAGTCCTCCAGATCCTCTTCTCCTCCTACCTATTCAACTTTAAGTTTTCTCAAAAAATAATAACAACAAAAGATACAAAAAAATCTCCCAAACCAAAAAAACAAAACAAACCATCCCCCAAAGAAAATAAAACCCACCAAACTGTAGCCAACTGAAAAGCACACACACACAACTCTGAAGTCCATTATATGTTGGATAATTATGCCTGAAAATGGGTCCTGTCCTGGAGTGATTGATATACCAAGTGTCCCTCGGATGACGAAAACTGATTTTCTCTCTCCCATCAGGTATAAGTCACAGTTTAGTTGTTAACTTTTACTCTGGTGGCTAGGTGTTCATTCATTCTTCTTTATTAAAAAAAATGTAACAAAATAAAATATAATAAGATAAAACAAATCTATCCCTTTAGAATTGGACTGGACCAACCAACAGACGGCAAAGAGCCCAAGAGAAGGAATAAGAATCAGAGGCCCATTTGTTCTCTCCCTCAGGAATCACTAAAAGATGCTAAAGTAGAAGCCATGATAGGAATGCAGAGAACCTGATGCAGACCCTTGTAGGCCCCCTGCTTACTGCTCCAGCCTCTGTGAGCTTTGCACATGCTAATTTAAAGGGGCTGCTTCTCCTGGTGTCCTCCACCCCACTCCACAGGATGTAACCCAGACCTGACACTGGTATAGACAGCCTTGGGACCTAGGGGACAACCACATAAGATTGGTTTAAAGAGAGAAAAAAAATGTAGCGATGAAATGACTCTGAATGGCATTCTGCTGTACTCCTAGATCCGTGCCTTGTTTAGCCGTCATCAGAGACGAGTCCGTCCTGCAGCAGATGGAACAACTGTAGGCCAGCAGACTGATACCACACAGAGATGGAGAGACCCTGAAGCACACAGCCCTGCATGGGATGCCCCCGCCCAATCTTTCTTTCTCCTCACCCCATGCTTTTGCCTGAAGCATCAGTTTAATGTCTGTATTAAATCACAATTATACTCATAAACAAACAAAAAAGTTTGTCATCCAAAAAGGAAGTCTACCCATGCTGTAACTTTATGACTATCTTCACCCTTTTATTTCTCATCCCGCCAATGTTTACCCTTTACCAAAGGTCCTAATTTTGATGGTTAAACTTATGTGTCAACTTGACTGGGCAAGAGTGCCCAGATATCCCAGATATCCAGCTACATATTTTTAGCACTTGTCTCTAAGGATGGTTCTGGATGACTTTAACATCTGAATTGTAGATTGAGTATGACATTACTTTCCCTGTGTTGGGACCCAGCCACTCTGAAGGCGACCTGAAGAGAGCAGACAGGGAGAATTCCATCTCTGTCCAGCTGTTTTCTCACTTTCTACCTCTCGCCCCCAGACTGGGGCGGAGACAAGAGTTCGTGCTGCAGGACTGGAATAGCACTCCAGCATCCAGCATCGATGAAACTAGAAGAGAGGAAATGTAGTCGCCGTGCCATGGGTCAAAGTCAAGGTAGTTCCTGAAAGCCTTTGGTCCTCGGTCCGTTTCCATTCCTGTGTTATACTCTCAAACCACAAGGTGGGGTGAACAAGCAAGTGAGATTTCACGGAAGCACACCCAGCAGTCAGCTTTCTGTTTTTGAAGGCATATATTCTAGTGGACAGGTGTAAGCGTTTGTGGTCAGGTTGCTAAGGGCAATGGCCCATGATTTCAGCTGTTTCTCCAGGTCTTTTTGTTCCAGGTAGCAGGTGAATTCATGCTTGGAAATTAACACTACAGCAGCACTTAAAGTAAGTCACGAAATCACTAGCTAATAATAATTTTTTTTCAACGTTATTCTACTTCACTTGTTCCTGGGTCTCCAGGTTTTAGAACTTGAGGTTGAGTAAAATGATCCCCAAAATCTAATCTCTATCAACCTATCTTCCCTCTCTCCCTCTCCTCCCTCTCCTCCCTCCCTCCCTGCCTGCCTCCCATCTATCCACCCATCTATTCATCTGCTTTTCCAGTGTCCTGGTTCTGATTCTCAGGAGCACTCATGACTAATACAATTGCCAATGACTTTATTTTGCTCAATGTATCAATCCGATGCTTCAAACACTTGACTGGCACAATGCTCTAGGCTTTGCCGGCCTGTGATTTAGACTTAGTTGCCAACGTAACTGTATCTGAGGTCAACTAAAGGGCAAGACCTCGGGCACTCCTATGAGGGAGTTTCGTGGATCAGATGATTTGAAGTGAGAAGAACCTATCCTATGTCTAGGTGCCGTTTCCCAGGGGCAGCCTAGATAGGAGACGACAGAGGCAGTTTTGCCTTCATTCTCACCGGCAGGTTTACATGCTTTGTTCTGTATAACTACTGACATTAGATCTCAGATTCTATGGGTTTCCAACATGGACTGAGGACCAGCGGCCCTCCACACACCCTCTATTCTTTTCAGCACCATGCTGGAATTGCTACGGCACCCTGCCTTGTGGGTTGAGAAGTTACCAGGTTCTTGTCTTCTCTAGTGTGAGATCTCCATCGTTGGACTATCCAAACCACACAGTGTTAAGTCAGTCTAATAAATCCCCTTTATTATCTATTCATTCTCTCCATTCTGTTCCTCTAAGGATATGGTTTTTGTGTTTTGGAGACAGCGTTTCTCTGCAGCTTTGGAGCCTCTCCTGGGACTCATTCTGTAGACCAGGCTGGCCTTGAATTCACAGAGATCCGCCTGGCTCTGCCTCTCGAGTGTTGGGATTAAAGGTATGTGCCACCACTGCATGGCAGGATATGATTCTTTTAAAATATTTTAAATTCATTTTATATACCAACCACAGTTCTCCCTTCCTCCCCTCCTCCCATGGGGAGTCAACAAAGTCTGGTATATCAAGTTGAGGCAGGATCAAGTGCCCCCCCGACCAAGGCTGAGAAAGGTATCGAAACATAGAGAATGTGCTCCAAGAAGCCAGGTCATGAACCCAGGATAAATGCTGTTCCACTGCCATGGGCCCCACAGAAAGATCAAGCCGCACAACTGACACCCATATTCGAGGGCTTAGTTAGGTCCCATGCAGGCTCCCCAGCTGTCAGTTCAGAGTTCATGAGTTCTCACTAGCTTGGGTCAACTGTCTCTCTGGGTTTCCCCATCATAATCTTGGCCCCTTCTTGCGCATGTAATCCCTCCTCCCTATCTTCGACTGGACTCCAGGAGCTTGGCCCAGTGCTTGTCTGTGGATCTCTGCATCTGCTTCCGTCAGTTACTGGATGAAGGTTCTATGATGGCAATTCGGGTAGTCACCAGTCTGATTACAAGAAAAGGCCAGTTCAGGCACCCTCTCCTTTATCGCTACAAGCCTTAGCTGGGGTCAAAGGATATGATTCTTAAAGATATCTACACACGGATATACAACCCTCATAGCCTCTTGAATTCTCTTCCTTAGGATGCCCTGCTTCTTATCCCTTTGAACACAACGAAAGAAAAATAAAAGTGTGTCTACATTTATTTAAGTGTGATTGTCAAGAGTACTCCTGGCAAAGAAATGCTGGCCAAGAGTTGAAGAAACGTGAACTGTGTAGAACAGAAGATTCCTCAAGACTGTAAGATCAGGTGACTGACAGACCTGGGTGCTTCAGGAGCCCTTTTCACACCCCAAGTCCACAAAATGATGTAATCACATCCTCTGAACATACGTGAAATGGATCCTTGTCTGACCTTACTCGTCTGGCTCTTGGCGTCCACGGCCTCGGGATGTGAGCAATGGAATGGGTGAGCGGTGACGTTCAGGGTGCAGTACCCATACTAATAACCTCAGGAGCGTGGATCGTGAGAAAACACAGTGAGGTTAGTGGGGAAGGGGTTGGGTGTCATAGTTTTGATATGCATACTTATTCAGTTGTGAGTTTATGGGATTCATTTTAAAGTTACAGTTATATTTAGCATCAGGGTTACCAAATGCTTGAAAACTTCTTTTCTTTTCTTTTCTTTTCTTTTCTTTTCTTTCCTTTTCTTTTCTTTTCTCTCTCTCTCTCCCTTCCTTCCTTCCTTCCTTCCTTCCTTCCTTTCTTTCTTTCTTTCTTTCTTTCTTTCTCTCTTTCTTTTTTGAGAAAACTTGCTCTGGAAAGCCTGGATAAGCCTTCCCTGGTCTGCTGCAGATTATAGTGTTCCAGTTGTGTGAACTCGCCTTGTCCACCTAACCTCAGGTCCACCTTTCCTTCTGGCTCCAGGCACAAGTAACTTGGGTATACTCCTGGAGTATAATCCTGAGACGTGTCCCGTTCAATTCTAATCTAGATGTTTACATGGGTGTCCCTTCTATTAGAAACCCCCTTTGCTCCCAAATCTGCGACTCTGTAACCTTCTCCTGACTTAGTTCTCAGCTCAAAGTCTCTACGTTCAATGAGTCTCCTCTTGCTTTAACCGGTCCCCCTCAAAACCTTTTATTTTTTTATTTTTTAAAGGAAAACAAACTATTTCTTTTTCCATTTTACATACTAACCCCAGTTCCTACTTCCCCCCTCCTCCCATACCCTTCACCTTACTCCTCACCCTCCCCCATCCACTCCCCAGAGAAAGGACCAAGGCCCTCCCTGCTATGTCCAGGCTGAGTGTGGTATCCATCCAAAGAGAATAGGTTCCAAAAGAGCCAGTACAAACAGCAGGGATGAATCCTGGTGCCACTGCCAGTGACCCCACAGTCTGCCCCAGCCCTATAACTGTCACCCACACTCAGAGGGTCTAGCTTGGTTCTATGCTGGTTTCTTTCCAGTCTGGCTGGAGTTGGTGAGTTCCCATTAGCACAAGTAAGCTGTATCAGTGGGTGTCCCCATCATGGCCTTGACCTCTTTGCTCATATTCTCACTCCTCCCACTCTTCAGCTGGACTTTGGGAGCTCAGCCCAGTGCTCCAATGTGGTCTCTGCCTCTGCTTCCATCAGTTTCTGGATTTAAATTCTATGGTGACATTTAAGTTAGTCATCAGCCTGACTAAAGGCCAAGGCCAGTTCAGGTATCCTCTCCACTATTGCTTAGGGTCTTAGCTGGGGTCATCCTTGTGGATTCCTGAGAATTTCTCTAGTGCCAGGTTTCTTTCTTTCTTTCTTTCTTTCTTTCTTTCTTTCTTTCTTTCTTTCTTTCCTTCCTTCCTTCCTTCCTTCCTTCCTTCCTTCTTTCTTTCTTTCCTTCCTTCCTTCCTTCCTTCTTTCTTTCTTTCTGTAGCTCTTCATAAAATTTTATTTATTTTTGGTCATACTCAATGCTGGGTTTACTTTGCTTTTCTTGTTTTCCTTTCTCGTCTCTGTGTTTACTGTCCGTGTTCCTACCAGAAAGTGAGATCAATGGGAACAGTGACCTTGACAGTCCTGATCCCCACTGTCTAGAACAGTGCCTGGTAAACATGTAGCCAACAAACATTCGCTGTGCACATGCGCCAGCAGATGACCGTACCCAGTGAGCTCACTCTGAGGTCCCCGAGACGGGATGCTAATGCATTGGCTCCAGAGCTGCGCTGAACCCATGAGTATCTCCTTTTCATTCAATATACCTTTAATCAAAGGCACTTGATTTACTAATTGATTTCATTAGAAGCCGACGTAATGCCTAAATTCTGCTAAGAATTCCTGGAATGGCTGGCCCTAAATATTATTCTGATAAAAAGCATGACTTCATATCTTAATCACATTTAGTTTATAGGGTATTAGTCGATAATGACCTTCAAATTTCTGGACTGTCTACGTGGGGAAGAAGATTAGAAAGAAAGTTATGATAGAAATAAAATTCTGCAGAGGGAAATTCCTAATATTTGAGGGGCAACATTGAAGTGTGTCCTTTAAATTCTGCTGAGGAAAGAACAGCTCTTCTGATAATAAATTTATCTTGTACATCTTCTTTTTGTGTCTCATCTTGTCAGGATTAGATGTGGTCATGAAAGAAGCTTTCAAATAATGGGTTTAAACAAAATAGCAATTCATGTCTCCTTTTTTCTCTTTTCTACAAAATGCCAGGCTGGCCCACTCCTAGGTGTCAAGTGCCACGCCCTTTCTCTCTTGACCCGTCTTTTACTCTGCTTTGAAAAGTATGGATGGTTGACGTTCTTAAATTTATCCCATAATCCAACATGGCGATTCCTGCTCCAACAGGATTTCTTCACTGAAACCCTCAAGGAACAAAAGATAGAAGGATATGCCTCTTACAAAACACTTCCTTGTAGTTATACAGATTTCCCTCTTGGATTTCTTGGGTCGCACATTTGATTTGTAGCTACCCTTAATTAGCTTCAAGGAATTCTGAGAAATGCACCTTTGATTTTACAAAGAATTTCAGCGACAGCCCAAGCTCCAAGGTTCCCTTTCTGTAAGTGTGGACACGGCCTCTTTCCCTCCTCTCAGCTGGCCCTGCAGTTTCTGAGCTATACAGCCTAATATAAGAGTAGGCTTGTTATGTTTCTATAAAGTGGGCTGGTAGGGAATCAGTAGGCACGAATGGATTCAGTTTATTACCAAAGATGTCAGAGATGCTATGGCTTTCATTGGTTCTCATCAGTTTGGAATGCCTTCAGTTAGGAGCTAAGCCTAGAGTGTGCTGGTTTGCACACACTCTGAAGATGGCAAGGAACTGAGCAACTCAAGGCTCTTACCTAAAACAGACATGTTTTTGTTTGTTTGTTTGTGAGACAGGGCTGCTCTGTGTAACAGTCCTAGCTGTCCTGGAACTAGCTTTTGTAAATTAGACTGGCCTAAATCACAGAGATCCACCTGCTTCTGCCTCCCTGGTGCTGGGATTATAGCTGAGCACCACCACTGCCTGGCTAACAGACATGATTTTTTTAACCTTGGAATAAAGTAAGTTTTTGTTTTGTTTTATTTTGTGTGTGTGTGTGTGTGTGTGTGTGTGTGTGTGTGTGTGTGTGTGTGTAAAGAGGAAGAGGAGGGAGACATGAATACCGCAGTATATCTTTGGAGTTGGAGATACTTTCTGTTCTTAGTATGCTGACCTAGAAAAAAAAAATTTCTAATCCAAAGGGAGAAACAATCGCAGGACACTTGTAAAATACTGCGTCAGAGAATTATTTCAAGTTCAGAATTTCCTCGTTGTAAAAGAAAAATTTAGAGAACGGTGCAATATCACACTACAAAACTTAAGAAATTCTCACTCCTTAATACTCCTGTGGCCAGATAGGTCATAGGCCCTAGAGGAGAACCCAATACTATTATTCTGTTTCATAGATACAGTCTTGAAACAGTTTCCAATGACCCATAGATCAGGGCGTGGTTCAACCCAAATCAGAGAAGTTTCCCTTTTCCGTGATGACAGCTGACACACTTGATTCACGCGCAGAAGATAAGAGACGACTGCCCTGCCCCAAATGGGATGTCCATATCAAACCCCTTGCTCCAGACTCACGGAAAGATGAAGAGAAAGGGCTATAAAATCCAGAGACACCAGGCACTATTCTGAAGACTAGCCGGGCTACGTGTGCTCGACCGATGGGGAAAGGAAGATTATCTCAAGATTGGGTACCAGGGGATGGGAAGGTGGAGAGGGCGGCTCTTACAGGGTTACGGTGGTGAATACGTTCAAAATACATAGTAGGACATGCTATTCTTAACGGGGGACTTGAGGCCTTGGCGGGTGGCCTGAGGTCACTCGGGACACAGACAGATGCACCATGCAGAGAGCTTGGGTATAGAGTTTATTTAGTGTGTGTGTGTGTGTGTGTGTGTGTGTGTGTGTGTGTGTGTAGGGAAACAGCATAGGAGTAAGGAATTAGGGAGAGAAGGGGAGGGAGAGGAGGGGACAGAAGAGAGAAAGAAAGAGAAGAGGGGAGGAAGGGGAGAAGGGCTGGAAAGAATGCAGGAAAGTCAGTTGCCTTGGGGGAGGGGGCTGGAAGTGGGCGGGGCTTGTCTCTTAAAGGGACAGGGTACCCGCAGATTACAATAGTACATTCTTAAAGAATTGCTAATTACTGTTCAGAGAGAGAGAGAGAGAGAGAGAGAGAGAGAGAGAGAGAGAGAGAGAAAACAGTCAATGCCATGGTGTACTTGTGGAGTTTATTTTCTGCCTCGGTGGAACTAGACATGAAAATGGGTGCTGGTTAGAGACGAAATCTTGTCCTTTATCCTGCCCTGTGATTTTTTAAAAAAATCTTTTTATTTTACAATAAACTGAAAATAAATTATATTTGCGGAAGCATGGCTATAGCTTAGTGGTAGCATGTGCAAGATCCTAAATTCAGTCACTGGCACCAAAATATTGGACTTAATATATTAAAGCATTGCTTAAAATAAGAGATACTGTAATTTGGACTCATAATGCATGGACAATGATGAGAATTGTCAATTAATATACTTTTAAGCAAATACACTTGATTTACTAATTGATATATTATTAAAAATTCCAGTAATTCCTCTTTTTATGATTTTTTAATTTTTTTTAAATTTTATTTTACATTCCAACCACAACTCTCCCTGTCACCCCTCCTCCTGCCTCCCCTATCACCCCCCCAGCCCACTCCTCATCCACTCCTCCCAAAGGGTAAGGGCCAATTCTCAAGTTCCCCTTTTTATCAAGGAAGAATTTAAAAGTTATTACATTCTTAGGGATGGCCAAAAGCTACACATCCATATTATGTAGCATCTGTCTTGGTCCCATGGCACTGAATTCATAAAGGCTATTGTTTGGAATGGTTTAGGTTCATCCTGATGAATGTGTGGCAGGTGGGGAGTTTGCTCAGGTGGAAGGAAAGGCTATGCTGTATCATGTTCACACGCGTGTGTAGCACACACCTGGCTCTCACGTACCATGTCTGCTTCTGCTGTTGGCATCCACACAAGGTTCTTCCCAGAATTTCTTTGGTGTCCTGCCTATCAGTCTGTGGGTGTAGCGGGGAAGCAAGCTGCCATGAGGGCTGGTGTTCACACAAGCGTTGTTGTCTCTGAGGGGAACCGACTTGGTAAAGACTATGGGCTGGTCCCAAACAATGTGAATGTCCTCTCTCTGTGAATTATGACTAAGTAGACCTCTGATATTTACTCAGTGAATGCTTGGTCTTTCTTTGAATTGGAACTTTTTGATATTTATTACTGGCATTATAGTCCACCTCACATTGTGTTAGAATAGGTTTAGGGGAAAAGATTTGCACTTTACCATAAATTGGTAGAAGCCAGTAAGAGATAAAGAGGAAGGCTGAGAGAATCCCAACTGCCTGGAATTTAAATAATATACTCTCTAAAACCCTTAAGTCATTGAGAAGATTATTTGCAAAACCTCAAACCAAGCAGCAATATAACACACACATACCAAATCAATTAATGGGCCTCACCTACAATAGCATTTAGAAATGATTCATTTTAAATGTATTTATTAGGGAAAACACAGATGATCGAAAACAAATTAGCGCTCAACCAAAGATGCTGGGAAAAGATTAGCAAAGCAAACTCAGGTGAGGAAGTAGTGAGGACAGGTAGAGAACAGTCCGTGAAGGGGGGGGGGCAACCCAGAGGAGGCTGGTGTTATGAAATGCAGACAAACATCTGACAAGATGAAAGAAGATATAAATAAACAAAACACAGGCCTGGGGAGGTCTGTAAAGTGCTGGTTGTGCAAACAGTAGGACCAAAGTTCGATCCTCACAATCTGAGTAAAGAGACAGTGAGAGATGGCATGTGTTTGTAATCCCAGTACTGGGGAGTTAGAGAGCGGAGGAACTGTAGGGTTTGCTAACCCACCAACCCGGCCTAATCAGAGTATCAGGATGAGGAGAGACGAGGGTAGACACCACCTGAGAAGAAAGAGCCCAAGGTCATCTCCTGCACACAAACACACACACACCTACATGTGTGTGCACTCTCCACCCAACAAACCTACAGATAATGAAATGCAAGCCTCGTAGGTTTTGATGAGGTGCCAGGAGTTCGTGGGTTATGATTAACCCAGCCTTGTGCTCATGAAGCTAAACAGGAAGAAGTCGATAAACTAGCAGTGGTTGCGAAATCTTTAACCTTTAAATCAGTGGAGTCAGCTCTAAGATTGCCAAGGACAGGGCTGGGTGCCCATCTCCTATGAGGGCATTCCCGCAGATCCGTTAAAATGCACCAGGGCGCTGCGGACTCTTTGCGTGAAAACATCCAGATCTGTGCACAGTCTTGGCACCCACCACTGTTCTTGATAGTGACACCCCATATTCCACCCCGTCACCCACAAACTTCCTTCACCACAGACTCCCGTGACGTCAGGTTTGTGTTGGTCACTAGATAAATGTAAAGAAGTTTCGCGCATGCAAATTCTTTTTGTTTGTTTTTTTGTTTTCTTTAGCTCAGGCTAGGCTTGAACTTGCTTCTGTAGCCAAGAATATCCCTGAATTTCTGGTTTTCCTGTCTATACTTTTCTAGTGCTGAGATTGCAGGCCTGTGCTACCACACCCAATTTTCTGAAGTGCTGGGGAATCAAACCTAGGACTTCCAAATGATGCTAGGCAACTCCCATAAGCCACATCCTTGCTCACAGAGGTTTTTCTTTCTTTTCTTTTTTAATTAAGAAGCTGTTAGTATTCTTTTCTCTGAGAGAGCAGACAGCGAAGTATACTGTTCTGTTTTGTTTTTTTTTTTCAACCGAGACTTGGGGCAACTTAATTGTGAAATGGATTTAGATTTCTATTTTTAACTGGCGTGCAAAGAAAAGAGAAGGGCCATGGCCGCTGTATTCTTCTAAAAAAAACCTCGTGCTTATTTAAAAAAGGAGAGAAAGAAGATACAAGAGCCAAGGCTTTGGGCTTGAATCAAACATCGCTTGGATTCCAGCTGTGGATTTAAATTTCCTAGGCAGCCATTGCTTTGTCTGTGCAGAGGAGCAGCACTGTCTGCAAGATGGGTGCCAGGAAGAAACGAAGCCCTGTGTGGGAAGAGCTTGGCTTGATGCTCAGCGCACAGCCCGCATGAAGATAAGGCCGTAGCAACTGCAAGTTGCGGCCCTCATTCACGGCTGGGCTTTCCTATCGCAGGTTCTTCTGATGGCCTTGCCCTCTGTAGCACCTCTGTGACAAAGAGGGACAAAGTGACATCTCTAAGACAGTCCTGAACCGAGGGATACACCGTGTTTCACATCTGCAACCTCTGGAGCAGGGGTTCTCAAACTCCCTAAGGCTGTGACTCTTTAACCCAGTTCCGTTCCTTATGTTGTGGTGACCCCTAACCACAAAAATTATTTTGTTGCTCCTTCAGAACTGTAGTTTGGTCACTGCTATGAGTCAGAATGTAAATCTTTTTGGAGACAGAGGCTTGCTGAAGGGGTTGCGACCCACAGGTTGAGAACCATTGCTGTAGCGGGCTCTTGGAGTCAGACGGAGAAGGTGAAAGTCAAGAACGAGAACTTGCAACTTATTAGAGGGGATATTAATGAGACACCCATTAATTATCAATAATTTATTATTAATCAATAATAAAAGTAATAATTATTGATTATTCGTGAGGTGTCTGCTGTGCCCAGATCACGACCCCCAGAGAGAGACCACCAGAGAGGCCCAGACTGTAATAAATAAGGTTTAATCAGCATAATACAAACATGTTTGGAACTCATCTCCATCCCCGTTACAACAAGGGAGAGAGGAGTTGTATCTCCTCTGTGGGGTAAGCTTTTAAAGGCATAACTACAAAGAGAATCTTTGAAGACGCTTTGGCATGGGTACAAGGACTTTTGCTCCCTCCCATCCTGCTAAGTCAGCTTTTTCTTGTTCTTAGAGCAAGGCCACTGTTCTTGAGTTAGGCCATCTTTATCAGCCTGTACCAGGTGGCTGGCTGGGCTGAGCTAAGTGACCTTGTGGTGTCTCATAGTCTTCTTTGGAGACCTTAGGTCACTGTTAGGATCTCAGAGTCTTAAAAAGTCTCAGAGCTTTTTAAATATTATTTTAAATGCCATTTTCTATAGATCTCTGAAGTATTTAGGGCTGTCCAGGTATCTCCGATTAGACAGACTTTATTATTAAAAATATTTGTTTTAAGCTTTAAAACATATATAGGGGACTAAATAAAGCTTATCCATGTACTTATATCAGTATTTGAGGATGACAGATTATTAATTTGTATTTTTAACAGTCCAGAATTATATATCATATTTTTGTTAGATTGAACCTTTAATGAGTTTAGCAAAGACAATGAGGCTAAAATCTAAATATTAACAATACGAAACATTTTATAAGCATATATGTTTTATAACCTATATTTTTATAGTTGACATTTTTGGTGACTATTATCTGGCATTGGTGGTTTTCTTTGTAGCTGTTTTTTTTCCTTTGGGAATAGAATCCCAGATATTTCCGGTGGTAACTGACTTTCTTGTATATCAATAAAGAACAGCATAAAATAGTTTTAACATTATCTATATCAAAAAGACATCTAAATGTTTGTGAACCCGAATCTAATGACCAGAGCTCAGAGAAGAATTATAAGTATAAAATTTATAATTATCAAAGACTAATTTTTTAACAAAATAGACATATATAACTTTTAAAGAAATAACCATGACCCTTTAACAAGACAAATAAAGCTTTTTAAAACCAGAATTAACCATTAAACAGTTAGGTACAAGAAATTATAGCAAACATCTTTTGGTCTTTTAAAAACCTCTATTGAAAACCTTTTTAGACAATGTGTAAATTTTTATTAAAGTCTTTTTTGTGATTTTATTTAGCAGAACATTGCATAAAACAAAAGCAGAAATATGTATCTTAATAAAAGGTGATAAGTATTTGTAACCCATATATTTTTTTCCCCTGTGGAAACAAAAGCATTTTTAAACATAATGTATTTTTTGACATTTACTTTAAAATCAACATTTTTTTAAAGTTACAGGTTGGTATAATTGAAAACTTCTTATAAGCAGCAGTATCAGGACAGGAAAGGGTTAAGACGGCAAACTGCTGGTCAGTAGAAGAGACCTTGAATGTTACCATACTGAAGAACTTGGTTCAGAAAAGAAAAGAGGGGGCAGCAGCAGTGGGCACAGAGAGTGTCCTTGGCTGTCAATGCTTTCTTAAAAAAGTTTTTTGTTAACTTTTTTGACCATGATCTCAGATTTTTTGTTTTACATTTGTACAGTTTTTTAATTGCAAGTGATCAATTCTCTGTCACCTGTGTGTAGTTCCCTTTTTTCTGCCTAAGGCAAAGACCCTCAAGATACAGAGAGAGAACAAGGGAGAGGTGGCTGCCCTGTTTTGCTGCAGCCGGCCTCTCTCAGTCACTAGCTCCACCGTTTAAGGCCGGGTGCATGATGATTTTGCCATCCGCTCCATCTCAGGTGTCCTTGCTCCCTGGCCTCGGAGCCCCCCAGCGTCCATTCAGATCCTCTGCCATATTGCATTTCCCGCAGTCTCAAGGCTTAGCTCTCACCACCCAGACAGTGTATTCTCTTGCCATCAGACCTGGCTCAGGGCTATGGATATAGACCCTAGATGGGCTGCTGTCAAGTTATCTGCATTTACATTTAAGTTTTTATTTATTTATTTATTTATTTATTTATTTATTTATTGTCCCGTCTGTCCAGCCTTAAACATAATAAACAAAGAAACAACAGTGGTCTGGAACTCCAGGGGATCACCACGTACCCAGTGTAGTAGCCCCAAAGACATTACAAGTCACAGGCATGTATTCCCTACCCTCTCTGCGCCCAGTTCCTTTTGGGTGCTCTCCAAGATTTTGCCTCTCTCCTCTCCATGTCTAACTGCTGGGGGGAGGGGGCTGGGGCGCCATAGGAGCCTCGAGAAAGAAAACAAAGCAACAATTACCATAACATAACATAAAAGGACTTTGATAAATTTCAGGGACAGGACGCATAGTGACATTTTCTCGCACTATGGTAGAAACTCAAACAGCTGTCTTTGAGGTAGCTGCAAATGACCCAGGGTCTGTAGAATGCCCGTCCCTGTCTAATGACCCGGGAGCAAAACTCCCTGTCTGAAAATGACCCGGAGCCAGAAAGGCCCCTGTCTGGAAATGACCCGGGGCCAGCAAAGCCCCTGTCTGAAAATGGAAGACAAGGCATCCCTTGCTTCTCCAGGGTCTCTGTACAAGCACGTTCACTTCAGAGAACACCTGTCAATACCAAAATCCCAAATCGGTCGACAGGTACAAAACCAAAGCAGCCATAGCCAGACAGACAAGACAAAATAACAGAGACAAAGAGACAAGAGACAAAAGACAACGAGTGCTCTCTCACCGGTAGATGCTAATAAACCTCTGGACTTCCATCATCCTGGTGGAATCGCTGGGGTTCCCAGCCAATGCACCATATGTTGTGCCCAGATCACGACCCCCAGAGAGACCACCAGAGAGGCCCAGACTGTAATATGCAAGGTTTAATCAGCATAATACAAACATGTTTGGAACTCATCTCCATCCCCGTTACAACAAGGGAGAGAGGAGTTGTATCTCCTCTGTGGGGTAAGCTTTTAAAGGCATAACTACAAAGAGAATCTTTGAAGATGCTTTGGCACAGGTACAAGGACTTTTGCTCCCTCCCATTCTGTTAAGTCAGCTTTTTTTCTTGTTTTTAGAGAGGCTACTGTTCTTGAGTTAGGCCATCTTTATCAGCCTGTACCAGGTGGCTGGCTGGGCTGAGCTAAGTGACCTTGTGTTTATAATGTCCTGGGTAGGAGAGAGGAAGGCCCCCCGATCTTCCTGGGAAAACATTCTGCTAGAAAATTTCTTCTTGCCCCTTTGAGAATAAGGGGTAAGGGTCCCACAGTGTCCTTTTAGACAGAAATTATTCTTACAATATCAATATTCTCGGAATTCAGGAGAAAGCCTGTTGCACTATGAAGATTCAAAGAATCCTAAACAACAGCCCTAGACCCACATTTTAAAGACAAAGAAACTGAGGTATGGGTGGAGGCAGCCGTCTGTGAGGGGCAGCCGTCTGTGGGGGCAGCTGTTTTTCCGATGAGAAATTAACCCACGTGTTTTGAATTTTGAATCTCAAACTTGAAATGTTGTTTTTCCTTCTTGGCAGATACCTGGCTATTAGGTCAAAGAATTGTGGGAGGGGATGGGGTGGACTTCTAGCACCTTCTATTATTGGCCCGTTTCTTCTCGGTCCATTACCTTTGCCTGGGTAAATATTAAGTAGGCTTTGAGTCCTTGATGCCCCCGGCTTCTCACATCTTTCCGAAGCTGACCCTGCCGTGTGTTTACGTTTTGTTTTTCCTGCTAGCAATGATTATCTTACCTCTGCTCATGACATCTTCATGTCCACTTGAAGACCATGCCCTGGTACCCATCAGCTCACTCCTCGATCATGTATTTTCCTCTCCCCTGTGGCTTGGCCCTGCCTAAATTTGTTTTATTTTGCCTGACTGCTAGAAGGGTGCCCTGCTGGCAGGGAGGTCACCTGACCGCTAGAGGGGTGCACTGCTGGCAAGAAGGTCATGTGTCCCCTCTGTAGTCCCAGCACTTAGGACACCACCAGGAACACAGAGCAAACGCTCCATAGCTGTCTGTTGTCACACTTTTAAGACGGACTTTTAAACATTATCTTCCACTTATCCCGTGTTTGATTATGTGGCAAGAACTGTACTAATTGAACGTTTGATGCATCGGCTTGATGCACTTGAAATGTATTAGCAAGGCAGCCCTAAGGCAGCCAGTCTGTCCTCTGTGCAGCGTCCCCAGCCGTCGTGTAAGTAGCTAAAACTGGCTGGACTCCAGCCCCAGCATTCACGCCTTTAACTTGTTAGCTACAAATGTCATCCACTGTGGCTTTCTAAAGGAAAGAATGCCAAGGAGATTGACCTGTTTGGTGGTTAATGAAAGGGAGTTGAGGGTGGAGAACATTTAAATTAGGAGCCTGACTCTATTTCTGTGCAGTCAGGGAAGGATTATTCTTAAGCATTATCAGCAGACGGTCCCTGGTTCCCTCCAGTGCAGAGAAGCCATACTCCAGGCACCCCAAATTTTCAACAATGCCAAACCTGTCTGAGCTCCAGGATACAGGTGGTCTGGGCTCTCTGCCTTCTACTCTTGTCCAGGGCAGTCTGCCAAATGCTGTGGCTGCCACACCCTCCAATACGCCTCCCCCGGGGGCAGCCCAGGACCGGCGACCTGGAGCTGTGCGTGGGCTGTAAACACGGGTCCACACACTGCTACGTCAGGGCAACGCCCACTGACAGAGCGACCTTACAGACTGCAGTAGGGGACACCCTTTGAAGCCGCCCCTCTCCAGTCCTTCTGAGAGCCAGGTTAAAACCATCAGCCTCGGCGTCCCGAGAGCAAACCTTTCAGCAAACCTTTCAGACCCTGCTGCTGAGAGCTAGAGACCCCAATCGTTGGGAGCCAGCATGTCGGCTGTGATCCTGGAGCGCCCAGTCCTGAGCAGAAAGCTCTCAGACTTCGGACAGGTGAGCCTGGTGAGCCTCCAAAGCTGGGAGAGACTTGATTCGCGGATGTGAAAACAGTCTGGGAAACGCTTGTATTTCCTGAGATCACTAAGCAATAGGAATTTATGTAAAGATGCTCAAAATGCCCCAGACAGTCAACTGACAAGACCACCTTTAACGAGGGACATCTGTCCTTTAAGGATGCAGAGAGGTTGGGGATCTGCCTGCCAGAGCTGCTACCACTTCTGTGTGTCTTTAGATAACTCATTGTTTTGTTTTGTTTTTTTTTGGGGGGGGATTTCAAGACAGGGTTTCTCTGTAGCTTTGGAGCCTATCCTGGAACTAGCTCTTGTAGACCAGGCTGGCCTCAAACTCACAGAGATTGGATTCCTGTGTTATCTGCTTTATCTTCTGAAAGGAAAGGGTGGGTCCTTAGTCATCTGGGGCAGCAGGTCCCGCTGCTTTTCTCCAGTGATAGCCATACAGTCCTTTCTTCTGAGCATGAAAATGAGAAAAAGTAAGAAGTCCCCCCCGCCCCCGCTTCTTTAACTTTCAGGGGACGATGTAGCATGAAGAGAATTTGGGGACTCACTCAGATGTGATGAAGGAGAAAATAAGCCGAGAGGAAAATAAATAGGAGTTAGCCCTGAGCCTGAGTATGCCTTCGGAATCCTGCTGGAGGTGGAAGGAGCCTGTCCCCTCCGGTGTTGGCTGTCCTCTCGGGAGAGCTCTTGCAGAATATAGTCTTTACCGTGATTAATGTAAATTAATTAATGTGATTCTTGACCCAGGCTGGGAATCACAGTCTGAACACTGAGATTCAGACCTTGGAAGAAATGTACTCACAAGTAGCTGCGGCGTGCAATCCTTGGGAACCATCTTTCCTCAGGACCCTAGGAGAAAGTGGATGTCAAAGTCAGACTAATTCTATAGCTGTCAGCATGCCCTGGGCCAGGGGAGACCCTTTGTGAGCCCATCCTCTGTCAGGACTGAGAGCTGAGGGATGCCGGGAGTCAGAGACTTAGTGCTGAAGACAGTTGGCATGAAGGCCAGGCAGGCTGGTCCATAGTTCCTGGTTCTACTCTATTCTAGGCTCCTGTGTTGCTGGTACGGCCGCTGGGCCATCTGGGGAGCTTAAGCCAGTGATCTAGGAGTGGGGAACTAGGAGGAGGATCTTACAGCTGGATTTATAAGACTCTTAGGTGATTGTGAATCCACGGTTTGTCTCCACCCATAACAGGGACCCTAGACGAGGATCCAAACATGTCCTGGTTCAACCTCAGCATAAGAGGCAGTGCATCTTCCTTCGAAAAAATAAGAATAAAAACCCCTGAGATTCTAGGGTTAAGATGAAAATTAAACAATGCCTATGCATATTTTACTACAGTTTCTAGACCATTTGAAACTGTTAGGTGTGGATTTGGCCAAAGCTGATTTGTTTGTTCAGCAGACTGGGTCTTGAAGTGCAGGAAAGAGAGCCGGCAAGGCAGATGTTGTGCCTGGTGTCACTTGCTCGGGAAATCCCCCACAAACACAGTCAAGACACCAGTGTTGTCCTCTTTAGAGACTCATGTCTACAAAGCTATGCATTTGTGGGGATGAAGAGGTTGTTTGGTGTCCATAAAATTGAGATGGGCTGATGGAATTTACGGTGTCTTCTAGTTCCGCCACGCGGCAGAAGAGACACATTTGTGTGATCTTAAAACGTTTTAGTGCATTTATTTTCTTGTATGTGGGGAGATGCAGCATGTGCAATGGCGTGTGTAGAGGTCAGAGGACAATTTGGAGAGGCAGTTCTCTCCTGTCATAGTGTGTGTGAGTCTTTGCTATTGAAGTTGTCAGGTTTGACAGCAAGCACCTTTATCAGCTGAGCCATCTTGCCTGTACTGAGTACTGTTTGCATCTCCTTAAAGCTTCCTACCCAGATAAACAACACATAGTTGAAATAATCCTAATAAGAGGGAGATTGCAGGAAGGAGACTCCATTTGTTGAGGGCATAAAACATGTCAAAACTTCATCCATATGGCGTGTGTAATCAGCCTGCGGGACTGAGTGGTTTAGCGCCTTCCTTCGCCAACAGGTCAAGAAGCACCCACTGTGTGCTAATTACAGCGGTGTTTTCCCTCTGGTAAAACTCCGGTAAAAAGTTCAGGAGACAAATGATAAAGGAATTAACAGAATGAAAGCATAATATAGTTTCATATAGAGACAAGAGCTGTGAAGAAAATTTAAGCAGAGTAGCGGGGTCAGTGAGGAGTGCAGAGCCACCAACAGGGCTAGAGTAGCCAGTGTTCAATCTAATCTGCTTCCCGCGGCTGAGCATGCTGCTTCACGGCAACCTTTCCTCCTGTGGGAGAATGCTCCATAGAGACACAGTGTATCTACACCCGACACACAGATACATGCTCCTCAGGACCTTCGCATCTTGTTTTCAATAGCTCTTTGGTGTGGATGTGTGCAAGGGGTTGTAGCCACACATGCAAATGTGCACGTCTTCCGTCAGCCCCAGTCACCAGCACTGGCTCTAGGACATCCTTGACAGATCGTGTTGCTTGTGAATGTGTGTTGCTTGTGAATGTGAAACGGAATTCTTTCCAGTGGTAACTGAAGGCGTTTGCATTCACTGCGTGGCTAATGAGAACAGTCTGTGTTTATTGCAGAGTGCATTACTCGATGACCGAAGTTTCTCACTCCTTGTTTCCCAGGTCTTTTCCTTGCATGGTTTCTTCCTAGACAGTTTTGAAGGTGCTTTTGCTTCTAAGCCAATCAACATGTCTGTAAGAATCAAAGAAGGCATAGTTCCTGAACCAACCAAATTACTATGAAAGAGATTTGCTCATGGGCCCAGGATTGGCTGGGCAAACTTGGAATTCTGATCCATGAAGACCTACCCCATCTCACAAACTTCTCTGTGTTTCTTTTCATGTAATGTCCTTCCTGCTTTGAAAAGAAGGAGCCATTGTGACAGTTGAGCCAGTCACTGGAAGGCAGAGT